AGGCACCACTCCACTGCAGGTACTGTGATCTGAGCTGAAAAAGACAACTGTGGGGCAAGCTTGACTCCCACTCCTCTGAAGTCCCATGGATTTGAGGGTGTTGTTGGAGAAGACACAGTTTTAACATGTGATCACAGGTCGTTTGCCAGGCACTAAAACCGGAGGTGAAAGTGTGCGACCACACCCTGAAAGTTTGGGAAGTACTTCCATAGGAGGCCAAAGTCCAAAGCCAAATATGTAGAAGCTAGGGAAAAAATGCTGAAAATAGAAAAAAAATATTGAAATAGAAAAAAAAGGCAAACACAAATGTCCACACATGGCAGGAGAGAGCACTTCTCTATTCAGGAAAAAGAAAGTGTATGGTATGGGAAGAAAAGAAGTGGGTGAATGGGAGCAAGAAGGCTTGAGCAAACAGTAGAATAAAACAGAATAAAAGGTCTGCCGTGCAAGTCAATAAATGCCTTTGGACAGTGGGAAGCTATTGAAGATTGTTAGGAGGGGTGTGACATGATATGCTACTCAATTTTAGAAAATTTGGATTGAGTTTGAGGCAGAGAACACACTGAAAGGGGAGAGGAGGACTGACTAGGAAGCTGTCAGAGAAAGCAAAACTAGTGGCCGAGAAGATTGCAGCTCTGGAAATGAATGAGCATTCTTCAAGAGGTATTTAGAAAATAGAGCTGGGTATGTAGGAGTAGGGAGTCAGAGACGAATCAACCATGAGCCTCGCCTTTCAAATTTTTCTTGGACAGAAATAGCACCCTTAAGACTTAAAAAATACAAGGGAATGATATTGCTGCTGTGAAAAATTGTTACAAACTTTGAAACTCATAATCATTCAGATTTACTACCTCATAAGTCTTGATGTCAGCAGTCTGTGTGGGTCTCACTGGGATGAACTATAATTCCATGAAGGCTGACCTTCATCAGAGGCTTCTAGCATAGGGGCAATTTCTTGCCTTCTCCAGCTTCTACAGGCCACCACAATTCCTTTGCTCCTGGTCCTCTTCTCCACCTCCAAAGCCACCTTTATATTCTGCTCTCTGAGCCTGCTTACCTCTTCCAAGGACCCTAAAATTGTATTGAGTCCACCCACATAATCCAGCATCGCCTTCTGATTTTAAGATCCTTGCCTAGTATCTGAAAAGCCCCTTTCCCACTCACATATAGAAAGAAAGGAAGAAAGAAAGAAGGAAGGAGGGAAGGAAGGAAGGAAGAAAGGAAGGAAGGAAGGAAGGAAGGAAGGAAGGAAGGAAGGAAGGAAG